AGAGATTATAAAGCATGCTGGCTGGGGAATTCTGGGAGTTGAAGTCCAGAGATTATAAAGCATGCTGGCTGGGGAATTCTGGGAGTTGAAGTCCAGAGATTATAAAGCATGCTGGCTGGGGAATTCTGGGAGTTAGAGTATAGAGATTATAAAGCATGCTGGCTTGGGAATTCTGGGAGTTGAAGTCCAGAGATTATAAAGCATGCTGGCTGGGGAATTCTGGGAGTTGAAGTCCAAATATTATAAAGCATGCTGACTGGGGAATTCTGGGAGTTAGAGTATAGAGATTATAAAGCATGCTGGGTGAGGAATTCTGGGAACGTTACAAAGGTTGAAAAACAGTATTCTAGAAGATTCAGTGTTTCCAGCAAGCGGCATAAAATTATAGAGCCACTTTGTCTTGTGGTGAAACTGGGCGATTATAGAGTTAAAGTTCTGCTTTAGGCATGAATCCAAGGAGGTGACCTTAGATATTTCTCTCTCCGTGTCCAAGGCATAAAACAGTAGCCAAATCTTTCGGGAAACATTGCCAAAAAAACTGCAGGGACGTACCCAGTCACCATGAAATCATTTTGTTTTTTAAAAAATATGTTCATTAAAAAAAGCACCCTAAGCAGAAATGTTTGATGTGCGTGGGAACAAAATGCAATTAGTTTTAGTCTTACTTTTAGCTCAAATAAGCCAGTACGATAGGGACGTGGCGGCTCAGTGGCTAAGATGCTGAGCTTCGAAAGGTCGGCAGTTCGAATCCCCGGCGCCGCATAACGGAGCGAGCTCCCGTTACTTGTCCCAGCTTCTGCCAACCTAGCAGTTCGAAAATGCAAGTAGAGAAATAGGAGCAACCTTTGGTGGGAAGGGAACAGCGTTCTGTGCACCTTTGGCGTTGAGTCATGCCGGCCACATGACCACGGAGACGTCTTCGGACAGCGCTGGCTCTCCGGCTTTGAAACGGAGATGAGCAGCGCCCCCTAGAGTCGGGAACGACCAGCACATATGTGCGAGGGGAACCTTGACCTTAAGCCAACACGATAACCATCCCCACCACTAGAGGGCGGTAGGAGGCAGCTCCCAAGCAGGTCCACTAGAGTGCGCTAATCTCCCTCTGTTGTCCCCTTTCTAGGTGAGCGAGGACTGGAAATATGTGGCGATGGTGATCGACCGCCTCTTCCTGTGGATCTTCATTTTTGTCTGCGTCTTCGGCACCATCGGCATGTTCCTTCAGCCCCTCTTCCAGAACTATGCCACCAACTCCCTCTTGCAAATCAACCACAATTAGCCCACCTCCGATGGTGGCCAACGGTGGTCTTCTCCGGCCTCAGGAGGGAGGAGGACACTCAACGTGGCTCTTCCTAGGGACACCGTCTCCTGTAGCTGCCAAGAGTTGACCAAAGACCTTTCACCTCTTGGCCCTTGGTTGAAGGCCAGGAAGAGAAGATCACTTGAGGAGACCCTCAACAAGTTCTGGAAGGGGTTCGTTGCTTTAGAAAGCCAGTGGACCAATGGGTTGACGTGATCAACCAGTTGAGTAGACTTCTTTCGGCACGAAGCAGGTGTCCATCTACCCTATCGGGACCAGCTTCAGTAGCAAGGAACAGTGAAGGAAGTTCTCCTAGCCAAGATGATGAAACCATGTTCCTTGCTACGATGAAGTCCTACCGATAGGCGGCTCTTGGGAAGGATTGTTGGATTTCCTCAAATCTTTCCAGGAACAAGCTGACCCCACCAAGGATGGGAAGTCCTCCCCTTTCGGAGGAGGTGGAGGTGATGGACCACGGATGGTGGAGATACTTCCTGCAGTTTCACTGCCGTTGGGCATTTTAGATTAGTTCTCCTCTCTTAAATAAACCATGGCTTAGTCCAGTTATGGGGTATTAGCTCCCAACTCAGGAAATATATATATAGATAGATAGATATTTATGTTTGTATCCATCTTTCCTGGATGTCTCCATGAAGCTGCATAAGAATGGGCTTTGCAGCGGCCAAATAGCAGTCAACAGGTTGAGTGGCTTGGACAATCCTGGTTTGTTGAAGGGCAGACAAACCATGATGGGCATTGACCACTAGGTCTGTAGATGGGGGGGACAGGGGGGGAGTTTCCAACTAGATGGAAGGTTCTGCTGCCGATCTATAGGTAGTCCTCAAACTTACGACTAGAAACATCATTGAGGACTACCTTTGCTGTTTTATCCTTCTGGGTAGGATGAGCCGGCAGGTGAGATGTCCTTACCTGTCGGCGAGGATGGATATCCGCGAGGAGGAGAGGGGAAAAATGGTTTGGGCAGAGATGAAAGTTTTGGACTGTCTTCCCGTTCTCGTATCCTCTCCGACCAATTGCTAGCGTTGAAATATCAATAAAAATAGATCACCTATAACCGGAGGGGTGTTTTTTGAGGAGACTGCTATGGGGTGGGTCTTTGGGGGAGGGGGGGGTCACATGGGAAGGGGGAAATTGAGCGGTGCGGTGGCCGAGAAGTGGAATTTTCTCCTCACAATCAAAGAGGTTCAATTCTAGGCAAGATATTTCCCTCCCTGGGCTCAATGAGAATATATCTGCTGGGGAAAAAAACTCTGCACCGGCAACAGGAGTGGCATCCGGCCAGTAAAATACCCAGCTCCATTCAGTTGCCCAGACTCCGCCCTGATGCAAAAGATTATGGGGTCATTAAGAGGGTGAGGTTTGGGACGAGGGGGGGGAAATTGATTGGTTTGCAACGAAGTCACGGAAAGCTTTTTGCAAGCTATTTTTGGCCCGTTTCGAAAGTGCAGGGTTGCGAAACTCAGGGTAAAAACCAACTTTGGGAACTTGTGAAATTGCTTGGACTTCCAACTCCCAGAATCCCCAGCCAGCATAGTTGAGAGATGGGAAGGCCTGGAGGGGCGGGGGGGGGGGAACAGGTTTTTCCCCCTGGTTTTGCCATCTCAATTTAAGATACGCGCACTTCCCAATTCCCAGAAATCCCCCGTGCTTCAATAAGATACGTGGACTTCAACTCCCAGAATGCCAAGGGCTGGCTGGGGAATTCTGGGAGTTGAAGTCCAGACGTCGGGAAACGGCCAGAAGTTTATGCTCAATTCACTGCAGTTGTGGCTTATCAGGTCGCAAAAGCGGATCACAGCCCCCCACCCCCCAACCCGGGGTTGCTGAGACTGTCTTGCGAACTGTTTTGAATTTGGATGACGCAATTGTGGGGACGGTTGTTAAGTGCGAAAGGCAATCCTAAGTCAATTTTTTTCCGGCGCCTCTGAAACCCTCATCGTTAAATAAACGGTTATAAGTTGAGGACTCCCTTCATTGCCCCCCCCCCCCAAAAAAAAACAAAAAAGGCTGGGAACGAGGCGTAATAACATGGACAAAATCGGGCGTAATTCGGTAGAAACCCTCTTTGCAGCTACAACGATAAACTATGATTAAGCCTCCTTGCATTCTTCTGGGGGGGGGGGAAACCACACACACACACACACACACACAAACACACACACACACACGAGAAAACAGCCGCTACAGAAAAAAAAAATCTATTTTATTTCAGGCAGAATGCAATGACTTTAGTCCATCCAAGTGAGAGGATCCGGAAAGAGAACGAAACACGGACTTCTTCGATTAAAAAACATGGGGGAGGAATAAAACATTATTACGAGAGGGGTGGTGGTGGTAGAATCCGACGTAAGGCGGGAATCGCGACGGAAGAGGGAGACACGAACCACGGAGGTATGGGAAGAGAAGGCTCCAGTTTTCGAGGCTTGTTTTTTTATTAAGGAAAAGTAGATTTTTTGACCATGCTGGCTTGGGAATAACCATGGTTAAAAGGGGGGGAATTAGTGAAAATATCTCACACCAGAGGCCAAGTTTTTCTCTTAGTTTAAGATAAGAGGGTCTTCCCAATGCGGCCCCTTTAAATCAGGGGGGGGGGACTTCAATTCCCCCAGTTGAATTCTGGGAGTTGAAGTCCCCCCTCCCCGGTCTTAAAGGAGCCGCGTCGGGAGACCCCCTGGCTTACAGAAGCAACCGTTAAAACTGGTCATTTGGATAACTGCCCCCCCAGGAGACAGCGGAATCTGACATAAATGCATTTAAAACGTACATGTTTTAATATCCCAGGGATTGGTTAAGAGTTGGCTACCTACAGGGGATTTGAGTGGGGAGAGGGGGGAAAGAGTTCAATTTGGCCCCATCCCAGAAGCGGCCCCCATTTGAGTGTTTGAAAACGCTGTGCTTCTGATTCCAAGACTCAAGAGAAGGGGAGGGGGGGGAAATCTTAATTTTTGTCCCACTTTTGTGCATGGGACAAAGGGGAAGAGAATTTTTTTAAACGGTACTCTCCGGGTTAAGTATCTACGAGGAAGATTTCGAGAGTTGGCTTTTTTTTTTTAAGCCTCTCCAACATTTGAAACTTCCCTAAAATTCCCTAAAATTGGGGCTTAGACAGACAACGCACGGGGGGGGGGGGGACCCTATGGAATTTGCTGGTTAGGGGAAAGGAGGAAGGGGGACAACGAGCTTAGCTGGCAAAACTGATGGGTGCGACTGATCCGGGGAAAAGACACAACCAACTTTGCCAGTTGGTAAAATATATATATATATTTTATATATATATATATCCACCAGGACGCCTGTCCTTTGGGCCACAGGTTCGAGTCCTCGGTCAAAAGCCTTGGGAGGGAAAATGTCCCCCACAGATTCAATTCGGTAGAATTTCGGTAGAAGAAAACTGGCACCAGACTCTTCGGAAACCCCCACCCCCAAACCCCCAGGAAGGAAGAGAGCGAAATGAAAAAATGTTTGAACGCAAAGAAGCTACCAGTGTGCCAACTTCACAGTTTTGAAAAGAAAAGTTCCAATAATGATTTGGGTTTTATTTATTCTTTTGGTCACCCCCCCTCCCCTCCCCCCCCCAAAAAAAAGTGGGAAGGAAGGAAGGCAGAGAAAGAGATAAGGAAGGAGGAAGACAGAGAAAGAGGTAGGGAAGGGAGGGAGGAAGGAGGGAGGGAAGGAAAACAAACAGGAAGGAAGGAAGGAAGGCAGGAAGGCAGAGATGGAGATAGGGAAAGGAGGAAGGAAGGTGAGAGAAGGAAAGGAAAACAAGGAAGGAAGGAAGGAAGGCAGAGATAGAGATAGGGAAGGGAGGGAGGAAGGAGGGAGGGAAGGAAAACAAACAAAGGAAGGAAGGAAGGCAGAGAAAGATAAGGAAGGTAAATGAAGGAAGGAAGACAGAAAGAGATAGGGAAGGGAAGAAGGAAGGAGGGAGGGAAGACGAAGGAAGAAAGACAGAGAAAGATAAGGACGTGAAATGAAGGAAGTAAGACAGAAGGAGATAGGGAAGGGAAGGGAGGAAGGAAGGAGGGTAGGAAGACAAACAGAAAGGAAGATGGAAGACAGAGAAAACAGGAAGGGAAGGGAAGAAAGAGAAAGGGACAGATGGAAAGAGAAGACAGAGATAAGGAAGAAAGGAGAAGAAAGGAAGGAAAAAGAAAAAAAAAGAGAAGGAAGGGGGAAAGGAGGAATGCTGGTGGATTTCTTGTTCCCTCGAGCCCAACAGTTTCGGATCACGCCTCTGCAAATCCATCTTGAAAAGGGGAAGGGGGGCATTTAAAAGAGAGGAAGGGGGGGGGAGAGGAGGAGGAGGGAAAGACCCTGGGCCTTCCCAGCCGAATTAAAACAACCTTGTCGCTCGAAACGGGGCCAGGACGCCTCTCCGCTCACTGGAAATCTGAAACCGCCGCCTGAAAAAAATCTCCCAGGCGCCGTTAAAAATAATTAAAAAAAAACAACCCCAAACGGCCAGCTCCGAATCTAAAAAAAACGAAAATCCAGAAGTCCTCCCTTTCTTTCTTTCTTTCTTTCTTTCTTTCTTTCTTTCTTTCTTTCTTTCTTTCTTTCTTTCCTTCCTTGGCTTCTGCAGAAAATAAAAACTGGGGAAAAAAAAAGAAGGGGGGTGGGTGGGAATTATATCTCTCTATCTATCACGGGGAGGGAGGGGTAGAGGGCTCCGGCAGGAGGAAGGTCTTCTCCTCCTGGGGTTTGCAGATCCAGCTCCCGTAGCCCATTTCCTGGAGGCCCCAGAAGAACTGCTGCTTGGCACTCTGGTAGTCGGCCGCCGACTCTTTGGCCTCCGAGTAGGCGGCAAACTTCTTCAGGTCTTCCCTGACCATCTTGACGCAAAGCTGCCGGAAAAGTTGGAAGAGGGACTGCTTGGAGACGCGGGAAACATCCAGTTTGGGCCTGGGGAAGAGGAGGAGGAGGAAGAAGAAGGAGGATTTCGTATCTTATCCCCATCCGTTCAAAAAGGATAACAACAACAACGATCATAATAAAACAAATTGGAACATCCCCCAATTTGGGGGAGGGAGGAGGAGGGAAAACAAGAAAGGGGCAAAGCAGAGGAAGTACGGGAGGGGAAGTAAGAGTAGGAGAGAGGGTCAGGAGGAGGAGTGGGGGAAAGAGAAGGGAAGGAAGGAAGGAAGGAGAGGAGGAAAGACCGTCATTCTGACGTCGGCGCTGCTCCCGTTTAGGATTAGCCACGATCCGCCGTAGAATAACCCACTCGGTAAAAAAGGGCTCCGGGATCTCTGCGAGCCCGCCGCGCCAACCCTAAATATTCCCGTCCCGGATGATTCCACGTTGGGTCTTACCCATCCACTTTGCCTTTCGTGCCATCCAGGACTTCGACGTTGGTGCCGTCCGGGAGACACCAATTGATGCTGGATTCCTTGGTCTTCCCCGTCTGCCGCGCGGAGTCGTAGACACTGACGCGGCCGACCTAAAGAGTCAAAAAGAGGTGTGTGTGTGTGTTGTATTTCTTTACCAGACCCCCAAGCCGTGAACCGTCATTGTTCAAGTCCGGAGAGCCTCTAGATCAGGGGTCGGCAAATTTAAACACCCAAAAGAGCCATTTGGACCCGTTTCCCACAGAAAACATCGGGAGCCGCAAAGGTCCTAACCAGAAGCCCCCCGTTCAATTCTGGAGCTGACCGGAAGTTCAGTTTCCTCCACCATAGAGTCTCCTCTCTAGCACGGCATCCTTTTTCCTCTACCTGTCGTAACCGAAAACCCCATCAATTGTGGAGACAACTGGAAAACCCTCCCCTTGCCACAGAGTCTCCTCCTGGCGCACTGTGCTTCTCTCCCCCTCCCGACCGGAAACTCCTCTCAAAATTGTGACCGGTGACGGAGCCACAGCAGAGGGAGGAAAGAGCCACATGCAGCTCCAGAGCCGCAGTTTGCTGACCCCTGGTCTAAGATTACCTAAAAGTATTTATCCTAGTACAGTATTTTTCGGAGTATAAGACGCTCCGAAGTACATATAAGACGCTCCTAGCTTTTGGGGAGGAAAACAAGGGAACAAGTCCTAAAAGTGGACGACCTATATCGCTTAGCGATCTGACTGTGTTGTTGGGGGGGGGAGGGTGGTCCCCGGAGGAAAATGGGGCAAGAGACGTCGCTTGCTTCTTAAAGAAAGGCCAGGAGGCGTCTTTTGCTCTCGTAAGCGCTACCGTCCCGCCTGACCCTTTCCGATCGATTTAAATCGGAGGGGAAAACGCAAGGGATACCTCGGGGTGATTGACCAGATAGGGCGCGGGAAGCCTCGACGCGAAGGTGCTGCCGTCTCTGGACATCCGGCAGCAAATGGCGCGGGTCAAATGCCCTTGGCTGTATAAGTAACCTGCGAGAGCGAGAAAAGGCAGAGTTGGTTATTTTAAAAAGATGGTCTCCTCCATCCGGATTTGCCGTTTTATAGACCCAACCGAGGGGCTTAGAAACAGGGCAAATCAAGTATAGATTGACCTAATAATAATAAAATAATAATAATTAAAAAACGTGATTACGACTATCACCAGGTGACGGGGAGTTCTAGTCCCACCTCAGGTATGAAAACCGGCTGGGTGACTTTGGGCCAATCACCAGGAGACGGTGAGTTCTAGTCCCACCTCAGGTATGAAAACCGGCTGGGTGACTTTGGGCCAATCACCAGGTGACGGTGAGTTCTAGTCCCACCTCAGGTATGAAAGCTGGCTGGGTGAGTTTGGGCCATTCATCAGGAGACTGGGAGTTCTAGTCCCGCGTCAGGCATGAAAGACAGCTGGGCGACTTTGAGCCAATCACCAGGTGATGGTGAGTTATAGTCCTGCCTTACGAATGAAACCCAGCTGGGTGAGTTTGGGCCAATCGCCAGGAGACCGGGAGTTCTAGTCCCACCTCAGGGATGAAAGCTGGACTTGGAGCCAATCGCCAAGTGTCGGTGAGTTCTAGTCCCGCCTTAGGCATGACTGGCTCAGCTTACCAAGTGTGACTGAGCGAAGGTAGACCGGATGTATGAAGTGGGACAACAAGGCGCCTTGCAAGCCGAGCACATTCCAGCGCAGGATTTTGTCGCTGCACGACATGGTGCGCAGACGTTCTCCGTGCTGGATGCCGTCCCAGGTTGGCACGATGTCGCTTGACTCCACCGGGATGGTGCCCTCTCCTGCGGAAGAATCCCAAGGAGGCACGTTTAAAAAGCTGGACTGGACGCACACAGAAGGCAGCTGGGTGACTTTGGGCCAATCACCGAGAGACTGGGAGTTCTAGTGCTTCCTTAGCCATGAAAGCTGGCTGGGTGACTTTGAGCCAATCACCAGAAGGTGAGTTCTAGTTTAACCTTAGGCATGAAAGCCAACTAGGTGTCTTTGGGCCAATGACCAGGAGACTGGGAGTTCTAGTTCCACCTTGGACACAAAATCCAGCTGGGTGACTTTGGGCCAATCACGAGGAGACGGTGAGTTCTAGTCCCACCTTAGACACAAAAAGCCAGCTGGGTGACTTTGGGCTAATCACCAGGAGACGGTGAGTTCTAGTCCCACCTTAGACACAAAAAGCCAGCTGGGCGACTTTGGGCCAATCACCAGGAGACGGTGAGTTCTAGTCCCACCTTAGACACGAAAGCCAGCTGGGTGACTTTGGGCCAATCCCCAGAAGAAGGGAGTTATTTGTAAAA